CGGAGGTGGACAGAACCCCCAACAGTGACACGTCGATTAGTGAATTGTCCGTTTTCGGTGCTCGAGAGGGCGCCGCGGCCGCTATTTTCCAGGCTTGCGCCCGCCAGGTTTGGGCCTCGGGTCGTTTTCACGAAGCCACGTTCTACTAAAGGGGGGTCTGTCCAACCCCGAATAAAGTCGAGGTACTGGGGCCTCCTCCTACTCCTCCTCCTCCTCCTCCTCCTCCTCCTCCTCCTCCTCCTCCTCCTCGTTCTCCTGTGGGCTCCCTACAAAGTCGAGGTACTGGGGCGACCCCCTCGACGAGCGCGGCGCCCTGCGCCGCGCCCTGCGCGCCGAGCTGCTGCGGGCGCAGCGCCGGCCCTCGGCCGCGGCAGCGGACGCCGAGGGCGCGCGGCTCGACGTGCCCCCGGCGGAGCCCGCGGCCCGACGTGCCCACGCCGAAGGCCGAGGGTCGGAGGGGGCTCAATCAGAACGAAGGATTGCAAAAAAAACAGGGATTGCAAAAAAGATTGCAAAAAAAACCCAGGGTTTTTTTTTGCAATCCAGGGTTTTTTTGCAATCCTGGGTTTTTGTTGCAATCCTGGTTTTTTTTTGCAATCCTTGGGTTTTTTTGCAATCGTTGGGCCGAGGGTCGGAGGGGGCTCAACCAGAGGCGACGACAGGGGAGAGTAGCCCCGAATCATCAGGGGTAACTCGGGTCAGGGCTAACTCGGGTTCCTTTTTCGGGGATCCGAACCCGACTTACCCCGGACCCGACTTACCCCGGATAGTTCGGGCGTCCAGAGCCCCGAATCATCAGGGGTAACTCGGGTCAGGGATAACTCGGGTTCCTTTTTCGGGAATCCAAACCCGAGTTACCCCGGACCCGAGTTACCCCGGATAACTCGGGCGCCCAAGGGGCGACTGGCCCAGGGGAGAGCCATACATGCATCTTGGCATCGCTCGGACGCGTGCACGGTTTCCTTCGGCGAGGGCCCTCGAGGAGCATCCCTGATGATGTGGCGAAACAAAGCCACGCACGGAACCGGAAGAAAACACACAGGGAAGTGACGTCCGAGCGATGGCGAGGTATGCAGGTGCGCCGATGATCTATGTCTTCGAAGAGGCTCCCGGGCGAATGCGTGGCATGCCCGCCCCTGGGCTATTCGCCCCCATCGTCGCCGCCGGCTCGAGCAGTGGCGAAGCGTCCTGGCGTGCCGGTGGGCCTACCCAAGAGAATGTTCTAAGAACCTTTCTGTGGTTGCCACGGAATGTTCTCAGAAGAGTTCTTGCTGGGACTGTCTTGTTTGAGCACATCGGGCGTATGTTCTGAGAACATCTGTTCTGTTATTGGAACACTTCTGAGTTCTAAGAGCATGTCGTGGTAGGCCTATAGGAGTGCCGGGGCGGTCAGTCCCTGCTCAGGGGTCGAAGAATCGGTGGTTGAAGTTCACGGTGCTTCAGAGGAGGTAAAGGTACCCATCTTTCTTCCCGTCGATTGTTTTGTTTCTCTTCTTTGGGGGCATCCTGCCTGGGAGGACCTTGTCGCCACCGCTGGATTCGCCCCGAAATTGTGGTCACAACGCACCCCGGGAAAGGCCCGGGGAGTAGCAGTATCGGTACCTCTCTGGTTTCCCCAGAAGTTCACGGTCTTGCGATTTCTGTCGTTGCGTCGGATCCCGGGGTCTTTGGCTCGCGGAGACTCTCTCGCTTTGGGATGCTTCCCTGCAGCTGCGCCCCGCCGAGAGCGTTCCAGGAGTGCCGGGATGTTGTCCCGAACCTGCTGGAGACCCGAGCTGTGGCCTGTGGCCCGGAAGCCAAGATTTTCGTCAGCCCGACGTGCCCGAGGGTCGCAGATGCGGAGGTCCACAGACCTCCAAGCCCTGCCAAGTCGATCAGCGAGTTGCCCTTTTCCGGTCCTCGTGGGGTGGTGTTGCGGCCGCAAGTGCTGCGGGACCGCGCCTGGGGCGGGTCTGCTCCCAGGTGGTTTTCGCTGAAAGTGGTGTTTTGCTGAAGGGGGTTCTGTCCAACCCCGCGAGAAGAACCAATGGCAGATATCGGAGGTGGGGAAGTGAGATCGCGGTGCGGTGGAACGGCGAGCCCCCCACCAGGGCAGTGGTTTCGGTTTCGTGTTCGTGTCGTGCGAGCGAGTGAGGCGAAGCGCTGCGTGGGCGCGGGAGAGGAATGATGCCGCCGTTGCTAGGGGCTGTGCAGCGGGTTGTCTGCCCCCCCCCCCCCGTGGCGCGGTGGCCGGGGATGTCCCGTCGGTGGCCCGTCGGTGTCCCGTTGGTGGCGAGGGGTGTCCCGTCGTTGGCGCGGGGTGTCCCGTCGGTGGCGCGGGGTGTCCCGTCGGTGGCGAGGTGGTGAGATCGAAAGTGAGATCGATTGTGAGATCTGTTGTGGGACCGATCATGAGACCTGTTGTGAGATCGATCGTGAGATCCGTTGTGAGACCGATGGCGCGATCGCTTATGAGATCTATACTGCGATCGACAGTGAGATCGATAGTGAGATCCGTTTTGTGATCGATTAGGAGACCGATAGTGCGATCGATAGTGAGATCGATCTAGACCGACCGATAGTGAGAACGGTTGTGAGATCGATAGTGAGTCCGAATGTGAGATCGATGGTGATTTCGATGTTCAGATCGATGGTGAGATCGATTGGGAGATCGATAGTGGGATATGTTGTGATATCGATCGTGAGATTGCTTTTGACATCGATAGGGAGTTCGAGTGACAAATCCATTGTCAGATCGATCGTGAGATCTGAAATGGGATCGATAGTGAGGCCAATAGTGAGACCTATAGTGAGATCTGTTGTGAGATCGATAGTGGGAGCTGTTGTGAGATCTCTAGTGGGACCTGAAGTGCGATCGAAAGTGGGATCGATACTGAGATCGATTGTGAGATCGAATTCAAGACCGCTGGTGATATCAACGGTGAGATTAACTGGGAGATCGATGGTGAGATCGATTGAGATGTCGATAGTGCCATCGCCTCTGAGATCGATAGTGAGTTCGATTGTCAAATCGATAGTGGTACCAATTGGCAGATTCATTGTAAAATCGACAGTGCGATCGATAGTGAGACCAATCGTGAGACCGGTAGTGAGATCGATAGGGAGGTTTGCTATGAGATCGACAGTGAGATTTGTTGTGAGGCCGCTTGTGAGATCGACTGTGCGATCGACGGTGGGATCGATACCTGGATCGATTGTCAGATCGATTGTGAGATCGATTGTGAGACTGATAGTGGGGTCGATGGTGAGATCGATTGTGAGATCGATCGAGACCGACCGACAGTGAGAATTGTTGTGAGATCGATAGTGGTTCCGAATGTGAGATCGATGGTGTATTCAATTTTCAGATCGATGATGATACCGATTGGGAGATCGATAGTGAGATCTGTTGTGATATCGATTGTGGTATCCCTTGTCACATCGATAGTGAATTCTACTTCCGAATCGCGAGTTAGATCGATTGTCAGATCCAGTGTAAGATCGATAGTGACATCGAGAGTGAGAAGTGAGACCGATGGTGAGATCGATAGTGAGATCAAGTGTTAGATCGATAGTGAGACCTTTTGTGAGATTGGTCGTGAGATCTGTCGTGGGATCGATCGTGAGATAGCTCGTGAGTTGTATCGATATTGATATCGACATTGATATCGATTGTGAGAACAATTCTGAGACTCATAGCGGGATCGATGGTGAATTCGATTGTGACATCGATGGCGGGAACGATTATGATATTTGTTGTGAGATCGATAGTGGGTCCGAATGTGATATTGATTGTGAGTGCGATTGTCAGATCCATGGTGATATCGATTGGAAGATCGATTGGGAGACTGATAGTGAGTGAGATCCATCGTAAGTTCGCTTGTGAGATCCATAGGGAGTTTGATTGTCGAGTCGATCGTGAGATCGATTGTGAGATCGATCGTGAGATCCGTTTTGAGATCGATAGTGAGACCGACAGTGAAATCGATAGTGGTATCTGTTGTGAGATCGAGAGTTTGATCGATGTGAGATCGATTGAATGAGACGTTGGTTCACCCTCCCCTCCCGAACCTCCATATCACCCGAAGGGCGGTCATATAGGGATTCATTGTCGGAGGTCCGCGTGATTTTCTCGAAGGGGCTGGGCCACCCTGGCGGCGCCTCTGGCGCCGCGCTTTGGCTCGCTCCGCGAGCCAGGGAGGGGCCAGACGAACCCCTCGGAGGGAGGCCGTCTGTAGAGCTGCCACGTCTACAGCCACAGGCCGTGAGGTCAGCCCCCTCCCCCCCCAAAGTTGGCGGTCTCACTGCCCCCCGCCTCAGCTCGATAACTCCTGCGCCACACACTCGGAGGAAGGAGAAGCGATACCAACACCAGCCGGGTTGTCCACCTCCAGCGAGGAGGTCCACACTGCCTCCCCGAGCGGGAGACTGGGGATGTCTCGAGCGAGAGGGGGGGACTACACCACCAGGGAGACCCCCCTTGCCTCCGCGCTCCTCGCCCTGCTGGTGCTGGTGTCGCCTTCCCTCGTTCCTACCACGCCGCGCGCACGTCGAGACCCCCCAACCTGCCCCCCTCGGCCTTCCGCTGCGCCCGCCCCCCTCCTCCTCCTCCTCCTCCTCCTCCTCCTCCTCCTCCTCCTCCTCCTCCTCCTCCTCCTCCTCCTCCTGCCTCCTCCTCCTCCTCCTCCATCCTCCTCTCCTCCTCCGCCCCCCCCCCCTCCTGGCCCGCCAGCGGGCCGCCTCGAGCCCCGCCCGGACCCCGGGACCCCGCGCAGGCGCCCCGGTCGGGCCCCCGCGCTCCGACTGGCCCGCCGATCGGCCGCCGCCGCCCCGCTCGGCCGGGTCCCCGCCCACAGGATATCCTCCTCCTCCTCCTCCTCCTCCTCCTCCTCCTCCTCCTCCTCCTCCTCCTCCTCCCCTCCTCCTCCTCCTCCCCTCCTCCCCATCCTTCCCTCCTCTCTTTGTCGGGCCGGGCGAGAGGGGGGATGGGAAAGGGGGGGGTACGAAATCTGCTGCATGCAGCTGGTCTCGGCTGCACCGAGGGGCCCATTCCTCGATACATGGCCGCCTCCCGGCGCCGGGAGGCGCCGGGAAAATCAGCTACGTGAGCTGATTCTCGACCCCCCCCCTTTTGCTATCCCCCCCTTTCGCCCGACCCGAGCAATGCCCAACAGCAGCTCCTGTTCACTTTGGACAGGGCTCGCTGACGGTGTCGCCGCGGATGCCCAACAGCAGTTCCTGTTCACTTTGGACAGGACTCTCTGACGGTGTCGCCGCGGCCTGTGTCCATTGGAGACAGAGGGCCGCCTGCCCAACAGCGGCCGCTGTGGGTTTGGGACAACATTCGTTGTTGGGCATTGTGCCCATTCTTTCCGTACCCATTTCGGGCGTCCAAACATGAGGCTGGGCTTGTGAGAGGAGACAATGAGGCAATCGCAAACATGGATCAAGGGGACGTGGATTAGCGACGGGTCCCGTTTCCATGAAAAAAGCGCGGAGTTCCGACGCCGAGCGAGGCGGCACTGGCCGCAGTCGTGGAGGGCACTTTCCTCGATCCATGGACTTGGCGACCGCGCGCCGAATCCGTGGATCGCTCATCCCTGCTTGCGCGCCTCCGAGAAAAACAGGCTCCCGACCCGCCTCGCGCACCCTGCAGGCCGCGGCCGCCAGGCCCAGAGTGCGCCGGTGCTTCTTGGGTATCCCGCCCAAGCGGGCCCGAAGAGGAGGAGGGGGAGGAGGAGAAGGAGGAGGAGGATGAGACTGAGGAGGAAGAGGAGGAGGGGAAGGGGGAGGAGGAGGAGGAGGAGGGGGAGGAGGAGGAGGAGGAGGAGGAGGAGGAGAAGGAGGAGGAGGAGGAGGAGGAGAAAGATGGATGCTTCCGCCTCGTGCTTCCGTCGACGGATGACGGCCGCATACGGCGACCGCCAGGCCCAGAGTTGTGCCGCTGCTCCGTGGGGGTATCCCGCCTCGCGTGCTCAAGGCACAAGAGTGTCATTCCGATAGTTTTTCGGTCGGCGGCTGCGGGGTGCAGGAGCGGTTTCGGGACGACAGGAGCTGCGGCAATCGTCTCCGCCGGAGCGCGTCGCCACTGCCAGCCCTGCAAGTCCCTGCCCCGCCCTGCTCTGCCGACGCCAGCCCCGCCCGGGCGCTGAAAGCGCCAGGGCGGGGCGTCTCCCCCCGTCCCGACCCCTGCCCAGGGCATAGTTGTTCGCCCCGCCCGGATTCGTTGTCATGGCCCCAGGGCCCAGCAACGGGCCCCCGAGGCAGAAATCCAGAACGAGGGCCCGGAGGAGGACCGAGGGGCCCGGGCTGCTTGACGGTCTAGAGTGCAGTCGGGCGCGTCCCTCTACAGGAGGAGTATTCAAAAATAGTGGAAAGTAGTCCGGGGACGATTTTGAATCGCTTTTTGTTTTGGTTTTGGACTTTTGGGGTATTCTTCGACTATTCTTACTTTTTCGCCCAAAATCCGCCTGCATGGGGACATGCCCGTCCCAATGCTAGACGGTCTGGAGCCGGTCCGTCGCCGCCATCCCCCCCTTGCGCGTGCGACGCGCTTGCCCCACCGAAACATCATGCGCGGAGCAAAGCCCACACTGGACACGCACCTCGAGGCAGAACTCGTTGCAGAAATGTGGCCTCAAGTCGGGCATGTCCCTCTACAGGAGGAATATGCAAAGATAGTCACAATAAATAGTCAGCGGCCGATTTTGTTGAGTATTATTTGACTATTTTGCAGTCTGTTTTTAAGTAGTTTGAATTGTTCGCACAAGATCCGCCTGTAGGGGGGCATGCCGACCTAAACGTAGCCCTGAGAAGCAGTCACCGAGCCCCCCCCCCCGATCCAGCGAGACTGAATCGCAGCTCGCCCCCCAGATGTGGTATTCAGAGCCTCCCGAGCCCCTCAGGGCGAGATCCCACCGAGACCCCGATAAGAGGCCAACAAGACCCCAATGGGATTTCAATGAGAGCCCAATAGGATTTCAACATGAACCCAGTAAGATTCCAATCGGGTTCCAAGTAGGTTTCACAGAGGTTCCAGTTTCGATGAACACACTAGATAAGCATGCACCTCCTCTTACTCTCATCGCCCCCTCCGCAGGATTATTTCATGGATTGATGGTTCGTGGTGCTGAGCGGTACCGGTCGGCGTGTCCCCCCTGGGGAATGATTGGTCCATTTTAGTGTTATTTGCTATGGATAATGCCAGGGGAATCGAGAAGTGTTTCTTACAGTCAGTGGACTAATTGGACCACGCTTGTTCGTCTGCTTTAGTTGAGGCCGTGGGATGACGGAAAGAGCGAAGTACGGGTGATGACGTTGAGTTGGGGCGAAGCCCTCTAGGGAGGGGTCCAGGGGAGGGGCGAGGCCCGGGCACAGCGGTCCAATGGTCAGTTTCCCTAGTATTTGTTCGAGTGAAGCGCATCCCGGGCGGCTCCCATGGCTCGTTCCTTTGCATTTTTTCGCTTGAAGCGGCCCAAGGGCCCCAAGACGGCCCAAGAGGGCCTCAAGACGGCCCCAAGAGAGCTTCAGATGACCGCTAGACGGTCCAAGAGAGTCTCGAGACGGCCCCAGAGGCCCTCAAGAGGGTCCCCGAGAGGGCCTCAGGAGGCCAAACAATTTGATTTCCCTACGGTTTTGGATGGCTTTTCGGGTTCTCCCCTTTTGCGTCCCAGAAGGGCCCCAGACGGCCCAAGAGGCCCCAAAGATCGTTCCAAGACGGCCCCAGAAGCGCCCCAAAGGGGCCCAAAACGGTCCAAGAGGGCCCCCAGACGGGCCCAAGACGACCCAAGAGGCCCCACAGACCGAGCCGCAAGATGGCCCAAGCCAGCGGCCACCAGGTGAGGAACGACGCCACCGGCGACAGCGAAGCTTTGGAGCCGATGGGGAACCCTCCTTCGAGCTCGGGGGGCGTCTCGGGGCCCTCGTGAGGGGTGCTCTCGAGGGGGCAAGGACCACTTTTGGCAGCCCCCGGGCTGTTAATTATCACCGCCAGGGGCCCCGGACGCGCACGGCCTCGCCGACCAGTCTGGCCTGGCCGTGGACAACAACTTCAGCCACCGATCCACGCTGTCGGTGGAGCTGGAGATTACCAGCCCGGAACAGATCCCTATGGAAGGTTGGTGTCGTGTCATCGCGGCGGCGACCCCGCCGCGGGCGTTCAAGGTTGTTGAGTGCCGCCAGTGACCCTGAATCGGCCAACATGGAATGACCTGGCGATCCGCCGATCGTTGAATGTTGAGAGGTCCGCGCGGTATCGGGAACCAACGCTGGGGTCGTCACGACACGAGCCTGCCGTGTCCTCATGACTGGCGCCACCTTCTCTCGATACCGAGCTTGAGGATTCCCTCAGTCCAGAGGGCAAATCCTTGAGATTGGGATCCCCATGGGCTTGCCAGTCTCGCGGGCAGGGATAAGCCCGGGGCTGGTCAGGAGAAGGGGCGGGTCCAGACTCCGGTGTCGGTGCCGAGCGGCCTCTCCGCGGCGTCTTCGCCAGTGCCGAGGCCGTGGCGGATGAGGACGACCATGACGAGCTCCACGAACATCTTGGCGGCGCGCAAGAGGGGAGAGGCGAGAGGGAGACTTACAGTCGGGGCCCTGAAGAAGGAACCCTTTTCGCTGGGGAGGGGCTCCGCGTTCCTTAAGTGTTTCACAGCATGCCTCAGGTTTTCCTTATGTTTTCGACAGGGTGTCGAAGGTTAACTTATGGAAAAAAGGGGCCTCGTTCCTTATTTAGGGTTCCTTAGGTCAACGCCCCGACTGTAGAGCCGGCTGGAGAGCCGAGGTGGGCCGGCACTGGTTCCAGCCAGCAGAGCGGAGGGTGGAAGGGGCCTCGTCGGCGCCACGGCTGAACGCGGCTCGAAAAGCTTGTCGTGTTCGACCTTGGCAGGTGGTCCGGGGACACATTTGGAGCGAGTGTGTGCATCCATCCCCCTTGAGATCCGACGTGGCGAACAAAGTGCAGCATCGTGGAAAATCGTGACCGGAGCCCTGGAGCCAAGCCTTCTGCTCCATTTCTCCTTTGAGGCCCACCCATAACTATCCTCACATATACTCAGGAGGGGAAAAAGCACACAGACACAATTAATCGTTGACCCCCCAGAAAATATGGGAAAATATGGAAGTGGTGGGGAAGACAAAAACATAGAAGATATGAGAAAATTTGGGAATATGTTTATTTATGTGTATTTATTTGTGTGCCCCAGGGCCCCTTCATATACATGCAACGGATATAGAGCAAATGTCTGATACGTGTATCATCGATCTTATACAACTATGAAATCGATTGTCGCACCGACTTGCACCGATTCGAACATACATAATACATTGCTGTACCTCGAAAGAGGAATATTTAGCAAGCTTTTTTATGAGAGCATGTTTGTTGCGAAACGACATGTAGGTACATACATATGCATTTCCTTATGAAGAAGCATAGTTTTTTTCTCGGCTGTGGGTGTTTTGGTTTGTATTCACCCATCGTCGACACCCACGTGACCGTTGCGCGCGTGAGGGAGGGAGGGAGGGAGGGAGAGGGAAAGAGAGAGAGAGAGAGAGATAATGATATGTAGAGCTAGCGTCGCCCATGCGGCAACGATTATGTGTGTTGCTTGTGTGCGCGTGTGGAGCACAACATGTTTTAGTTGTTTAGTTAGTTTTTTTTGGGGGGGGGGCTGGGGTGTTTCAGTTCGTGATCGCTGCAAGTGATTTTTCTTCCGACGAGGAGGGAACTGGGCAAATATTAGCCTTTTCCCCAACTGGGGCACCTATGCCTAATGGTTTGGCTGGTGTTCGTGAAGCATCTGTTAGTTTTTATGGGGTGGGGGCGGGTAGGGGGCGCTCGGGCTGGGGTGCTTTTTGTTGGGTCCGTATTTCGAGGAGTGGAAGATTTGGCAAACTCATGTGTCCAAATGGGACAGCGATGTTTTGCTTTTCTGTTTGTGCTTTTATATTGTGGATTGTTTTTTGTTGGCGGCGTTTGTTTGTGCACATTGCCACAACGTGCGGTGGTACTGTGAGTCCGTGGTACGTGCTATATGCAGTATGTTTGATGCACGTTCCACATGTGCCTCAGAGCTTTTTTTATCAAACGTCCCCCCAGGTTTGCAACACCACCCCCGCAGGTTTGTTTCCATGATGTCCACCCCCAGGGTTTCCGAGGCCAGCCCCAAGGTTTGTTGCGTTCCACGTTGGCGTTTATAGCCCCCCAGGGTATGGGCTCCCCTCTCCTCCAGCGTCCGTTGCCTCCTGCGTTCAACCCATGGGCAAAACCGTCGCCGCTTTCGCAGGGAGGCCCAGCGGAGCGGCGGCATACGCGCATCCAGGCTCCAGACTAACCCCACAACCCCCTGGGAGGAGGAGGAGGAGGAGGAGGAGGAGGAGGAGGAGGAGGAGGAGGAGGAGGAGGAGGAGGAGGGAGGAGGAGGAGGAGGAGGAGGAGGAGGAGAGGAGGAGGAGGGGGAGGGTCCCACGGCCCCCATGGGGGGTGCTGCCACCTGCGCACGCGGCGTGGGCCCGAGAGGGCCTCCAGGTCGAGCCGGGCCGATCTTCGAGGGCCCCGGGGCCCGAGACCGGGTGTGAAGCGTCAGGGAATGGCTCGCCGGGATCTCCGGGCCCCCCTCCCTGCCTCCTGGCCTGCTTGCTCTGCGCCTGCCCAGCTCGAGCGCCCTTGCGGGCAGCACTTCTGCCTACATCCACTGCGGTATGGAGGTTCGGGCTCCCTCCCCAAGGAACCCGAGGCGCTCTGGATCTGGATAAAGTTGCCCCCTAGAGGCTCGGTTTGTATCCATATCCAGTGCGCCTCGGCCTTGTGGCGCCGCTTCCAAAAAAGCCCAAGAGGCACTGGATATGGATATGAGTCTTGCACGCAGCCCTGGCCACCCCGAGCGGAAGGAGGGCCGCCGCCCTCAGCGAGGGCGGGCGGCTTCTGAGCGGGCGCGGCACCCTGAGATCCTGACGTCCCTTTTTGTTCGACCCTGGCGCTTTCGCCCGGTTTCAGGCCCCGGGACCCTCACAGATCGATCAAGTTCGAGTGCAGTTCAGGAAGGCAGGTTTGGGGATTTTGGTCATGATTGTTCCCGGTGTCGCTCGGACGTGGCTACGGCGAGGACAAATCCGTTCCGAAACGCTCTAAGAAGGCCGCGGCGCCCCAGACATCTTTCAGAGCTACCGAATTCCAAAGATTCTCGACTTTTTTCATCTGGCGTTAATCACCAGAGACAGAAGTACCACTACCATCAGGTAGGCCTCGTCCTGGCCGTGTCTTAATCACCAGAGACAGAAGTACCACTACCATCAGGTAGGGAGTTGGCTGTCCCACCCTCTCGAGCTGGTGGCATGCCTCGAGAGAGTTCCCGGAAGGAGGTGCCACCAGCTCGAGGGGAAGGAGCGACCACCCCCTTAGCTGGCGGTAGTGGTACTTTGTCTCTCCTGTCTGAAGGGGGCCTCGGGCCAGTCCCTTGCATCCTTCTCGCGCATCCTCGTGATACGGGTTGACTGTCACCTGATTTCATGATAAAGCGAGGGTCTGATTTGAGCCGTCTTGGAGGGTTCGGGGGGCTCTGGGCAAAGGGCCGCCCCTTCATGGATGGTCTGGCGGGTCTGCAGCTCCTCGTCTGGAGCACCCTCCCCCGACTTCGTCCTCGTCCTGGCATCGTCCCCAAGGGGGCCTCTGGCCGGTCCCTCCTGCCCGTTTGCCCCTCCGGTCAGGGGGGCGCCTCGCGCGGGCCGGCGGCCGCTGTCCGGGCCTCTGGGGCCCTCGGCCCGCGGGGGCGGGGGTCTCGTGGGCCCCCCTCTCCTCCTCCTCGTCCTCGTCGTCGTCGTCGTCCCCCTCCTCCTCGCCCTGGCTCTGCGTCGGGCGTGCCCTTCTGCAGGAGGAGTCTTCAGCAAGAATCCAGGAATAGCCTGGTGACGATGTTCCTAGTATGTTTGGGCTATGTTTGCATATGTTTGGGTCTATGTTTGATCTTCGTCCAAATCGCCCGAAGGAGGTCACGCCCGACCAAACCCTGGCTCCGTCTAAGTTGACATGTTTGTCGGTACGTCGGACCTCAGGGAGGGAGGCTCCTGCTTTCTCAGAGGCCCCCCGCGTTCTCAGAGGGCCGCCCCCCCGGCGCCGCCCCCTCGTGCACGCCGCCAACTATTTCCGAGCCGGCGATGTCCGGGCCAGTCAGTCGAGTGCGGCTCGCGCTGTGGAGGTTTTCGGTAGCAAGTCGTGGGAACCTGGTATGCCCCCTCCTCTGTTTCGGTCGCATATCTTGGGTGCCCTTGGCATCTGGCCCCCCTCCCTCGTTTTCGGGAGCCAATCATGGCAACCTGGTATGCCATCTCAATTCCGTCTCCAGCGTCGACTAGCGTCGATGAGCGCCTGGGGGTCGGTGAGATAGCGCCGAGTTAGCGTCGGCTAGCGTCAGTTCGCGTCGATTTAGCGTCGATTAGCGTCGATTAGCGTCGATTCGCAAGGGGCGACAAGATGGTGTGGGAGTCTCTCATGAGTTGCCACCGAAGAGGTTGTTGCGTCAGCATGGCTACGCCTTTGACTGTGCCATCGGCGTTGTCATCATCATGAGCTCTTTGTGCGTCGGCCTGGAGATCCAGTGCGATCTGGAGGGAAGGGCGACCTGCTCAAGGCGCACGCACGATCTGGAGCATGTGTTCCTGGTGGTTTTCATACTCGAGCTGCTCATCCGCGTCTTTGGTGATGGCTCGAGCATTCTGAAAAGCGGATGGTTTCGGTTCGACGCCAGTTTGGTTGCCCTTGGAGTCATCAGTGCTTGGGTAATCGAGCCGATCGTGTTGAACGTGATGGCCAGCGACGGGAGTGTGTTCATCGATGTCCTTTCAAAGGTGCACGTGCCGCGGTCTCTCACCGATTTGCTTCAACACTCTAGCCCCCCCTCCGGATGCAGGTAGACGCGACGGCGTCCAGGACAGCAGGAGTGAGGCATACGTAATTCGCCAATTTGCCAGTCATGTCGCGTGGGTTGAGTTTGTCGCTTGCCTGATATAATGGCTGCCGCGTCGCATGTTTTCACCAGCCCATGCAAAGATGATTCCCTGGCGAGTTGGCGCGAAAAGAGAAGTGGATGATCAGGGAAGCATCGACGAAGTGGGGCACTCGTCACACCGAGGCTAGAATCAGCCCGAGCAGCCCCTGGCACTGACAAACTTGGAGGCTCGTGTAGCCCCTTGATGCTTGTCGTACGTAGCCATGCTGGGCTCCGTTTGATGCGGTTTCTGTTTGTGGTGGGCGGGGTGAAGTTGGATCTCCTTTGGGGGGCTTGTCGGAGCCTTTCGACGGAGAGGCTCTTTAGTGGTCTTGGCCTCTTGGGGACGTCCTCGGGAGGCTCTGGGGGGGGCGGTTCGGCATACGAAGAATTGGAATACCTAGAAAAGCTAGACGAGCTCCACGCGTTGTAGGAGTTCTGGTGGTGAGAATCGCAAGTAGGCTAACACGAGCTGGATATCCGGGCTTCAGGGTTGAAAGTTGCACTGTACAAACGTTAGGGCATATTCACAGGTAACGGTAACGTGACTCATCTGAGCTAGCAGAATTGGACGTGGCAGAGAAACGTTCGTATTTAGTACATGCGCACGATGTGACTACGTAGGTTTATGAATGTTGGTTCTACCAATGGTTTTGTTAGTTGTGTTTCAGGGCCAAGGCGAAGCCAATCACAAACCGAAGGCTGTACACATCCCTCAACTTCCGCACCAGCCGAATTTCCGCACGGCGGTGAACATGTAGTCTCAGAGTTGCGTCGCTATAGCATGAGCAGGTTCATGAATATACGCGAATGGTCATTGTGCAAGGTCCAGCGTGTACTCAGTAATGTAAGTAATGTACTGGCCCACCCCACAAAGTTTCTTCTGTTCATAGCCCTTTCCTCAAAGGTGCTCATATTGCGGGTCCTGCGCCTCCTTCGTCTCGTGCGAGCCCTACGTTTGTTCGAGCAGTTCCAGGAGATGTGGAAACTTGCGAACGGCCTCGTGTGCTCGCTCCGCACTGTGTTGTCCGCCTGCGTTATGATAGTTCTGACAATCTACATATTTGCTTGCCTTGGTATTGAACTCATCACAAAGAACAAGTTTTTGCTGGAGGACCCAGAGACCGCAGCGCTCATCCAATCGCATTTCCCATCCCTTCAAATGACAATGCTCACCTTGGTTCAGTTCGCGAACGCCGATTCGATTGCGGATGTGTACAAGCCCATCGTGGAGAAGTCGTGGCATTTGATCTTTTATTTTGGATTCGTTTGGCTGGTTGTGACTATCAAATTGATGAACTTAATTACCGCGGTTATCAGTCGCCTGAGGCAAGTTTTACCACCGTGCCACCGTAACACGTTTTGAAGCGATGCTTCGTGTTACACCATGAAGCCGTGATTTGTAGCACGTTTCGTCCTCATTGTTTCAGGAGCTCTCATGATGCCTGTGCTTCCTCTTGGGACCCTCTTAGGCTGCCTTGGGCCCTCTTGGGCGTTTGTTGGGCCCTTTTCTGGGGGCTGTTGGGGAGCATCTGGAGGGCCTCTTGGGACGCTCGAGGGGCTGTTTGGGGCTCTGTCTGGCTCCTCCCAGGCCGTCTTGGAACAAGATCGTGCCGATGCCCAACACATAGTTCTACAAGCAGGGGGAACTCATGAAGTTGTTGAATGGTTTTGCACTCCAAAGGCACATTGGCTTGCTGTCCGCTGCAGTGGAAGCCTGTCTGGGCCTCCGGCTTCCCTTGGGCTCTTCTTGGGGGCTGCCGGGCACGTCTCAGGGCAGGGTCGGGCCGTCTCGGCGGCCATGGCCGCCCACAGCTGCCCGCCTCGGCCGTCCCAGCAGCTCGTCAGAGCCGCGCCCCCGAGAGCCCCCGGGAGGAGCAGGGACGCTGGGCGAGCTGTGGGGCAGAAAGGGCGGTGCACGTCTCACCGTGTGACGTGGAGGGGGCGTCGCGCACACAGACCAACACGACTCAACGTGCGTGCCCGGGGGCGCGGCCGCGGATCGTCGACAAAGCCATAGCCCAGGGCGACGTGGACCGAGATCTCGAGCTGGCCATGAAGCGGAAGAGGTGGAGAGTCCTCGAGCCTGTCATCAGAGACACCTACAGGGAGCTCGATCAGAACGCCACCGGCGAGCTCAGCTTGAGTGCCTTCAGGTACGGGTTGGACAACATGAAAACGGCCTACAAGAAGAGTTTGCCAATTGACCTGAGGAAGATCTTGGATTCGGACCAGCTCGTGGAGCTGTACGAGTACCTCGACGTCGATCGTTCGGGCGCCATCGACGAGAAGGAGTTCACCGACGGGATCTTCACCCTGATGCTCCAGTCCATTCCCATCGAGACCACCCAGATGCTTCACATGCTGCGCTCGAACACCGAGGCGCTCCAGAGGATCCAGCGGAGGCTGCCCGGCCCCGGGCAGTCGCCCACGGAGGGGAGCCGGCGGGAGAGCCGTCGCCGGTGTGCGCAGTCAGAAGGGGCGGCGGTAGCCGCCGCCGCGTGTCTGTAGGTCGTTGCTCGTTGGCAGAATCGCTTACCCATCGGTTCGATGCTCGTTTTGGGGACCTTCTTGGGGCCCACCTAATGGATCTGTTCGACTCAGGTTCGACTCAAGTTCGACTCAGGTTCGACACAGGCTCGACTCAGGTTCGACTCAGGTTCGACTCAGGTTCGACGCAGGTTCTACTCAGGTTCGACGCAGCTTCGACGCACGAGTGGAGCGAGTGGCTCCAGGAAGGTCCCCAGAATGAGCATCTAACATCGGTCGTCGAAAGTAGGTATTGTTGGATTCCCATAGTTCCAATGTTCGGGGGAGCGTAGGACTCGAGTGAGCCAGGACTCGGGCCTGCCGACTTATTTTTGTTGACGAGCGCGTCCTGGATGTTGACGGTCCCGCTTTCGTGGGATGTCTGCAGGGAGCCCGCGTCAAATTTTCAGGTTGGGTCTCGTCATTGTTATGATTGCCCCCGTCAGGCCAACCCGAGTCCCCCGTGCCCGAGTTTCACGTCTCCCCGAAATGTACTTTAAGCGCCTTCCTATTTCAATGATCGAGTGGCTTCACCTTTGCCGTCCTCTTTGAGGGCAGGGCGGACACCCCATCTGCTTTCAACGCCTCCCTACCTCATGTTTCTTCATATTTCTTCCGACCGATGGGTAAGTGTCCTTGTTCAAGCAGTGGCGAAGCGTCCTGGCTCGCCTATAGCCCTGCCAAACAATGTTCTAAGAACCCTCTGTGGTTTCCACGAAATGTTTTTAGAACATTTCTAGCTGGGACTGTCTTAGTTTAACGACGCATCAGGTTTATGTTCCAAGAACTTTGTTTTTGTTCTTAGAACATTTTGGGGTTCTAAGAACATTTCGTAGTAGGACTATCGGAATGCCGGGACGGTCGGTCCCTGCTCAATTTGTTCGCGGCCTCACAGCTGGGCCCTTGGGCCGCGTGTCCGCGGGCACGGGGCGTTCTCTCGCGGATGCCCGCGCAGGACGTACCCGTGCGACCGCGTCTTCGCGGCCATCGCGCTCCCGAATCCAGGCCGTGAGGGCGCGGATATGCATACGTCATCCGCTGGTGAGTTTCGGGTTGACCCACAAGGGGGTCCAGCGACAAGGGGGTGGTGCAATAGATATGGTGCAATAGATTTGTGGGGTTGCAGTACGTGCGTGGCGTGCAATATTTTCCGGGGCGCAAACACGTATTGCTGGATTTTCGCGTGCAATGCATTACCTGCAATACAATGCAATCGATTTCTCTGGCAATTGCCCGAATCTATTGCAACGCCCCCTTTCAGTGAGACCCCTTCTTGGGTCACCTAAAGAGTTGCTCGGAGGATCCGGGGCCTCCCTGGCTGCACAGGGAAGGGACGCACAAGGGCGGCCCTTCTTGTCGAAGACGAACAGTCTACATGAACAGAAACTTTCGGAGGTCCACACGGATGTCATGGATTGGCGATGAACCCCCAGACTGGTCTGCGTAGCGCGTTGGCGGCCTGGCTTGCATGCGACCGGCATCAATCGGAGAAGGACTGAACGGCGGTCTCCCTGGCATTTTTCGTAGTCATGGGGCCTCCTCGAGGCTTCTCGTCGAAACTGCTGGACCCACCTCGGAAAACAAGTCAAGCGGGATCGCCTGGGAGGGGTCCATGGACCGAGCTTGCTGCCAAGGCGGGAAGGCCGCCGTTGATTTAGTTGGCCTTCCTCCGGATTAGGGGCAGCATGTCTGAGCTGCAGTTGTTCTTTGCTGCACGTCGTCACTGCGGGGTGGTCTTCTGTGTCTGCCCTGAGCCCTTCTACCATCAGGGGCACCGATAGGGGGGGATAGGCATAGGGGGGGATGCATCGACCCCCAATCGCCCATTGATCGCCGATAGGGGTGCGATAGCCCCGACCTGCCCAGGAAGGTGCGGATTCACTATCGGAGGCCTATCGCCGATCTGTCGGCGATGCATCGCCGATTCCAGGTCGATGCATCCCCCCATATGCCCATCCCCCCCCTATCGTTGACGTGGAGGAGGACGAGGAGGAGGAGGAGGCGGAGGAGGAGGAGGAGGAGGAGGAGGAGGGTCGTAGGAGGGGGAGGAGGAAGAGGAGGAGGAGGAGGAGGAGGAGGGCAAATGTTGGATGCGCGTGTGACCGCATAGTGTTTTTTCAGCGCTCGGCCCTTGGAGTGTCTGGTCGCGGCTGCGCTTCGCAGGCTCTCATCCAGCGCGTGCCTTCTGGATGCTCCACGCGGGAATCCTGCCACGTGTGTTTCCAGCCTGCCGGTACCTTAGTTGGCCCTGGAAACGACAGGGCCATTGGTTACCGGTTCCGTTTTGCTTTTTGTTTGCCGGTTCCGACGCCGTTGTTTTACCGGTTCCTTCGCCGTTTTTTGACCGGTTCAGGCTCTGGTTCCAATCCTGGAGCAGTTTTTTTGCCGTTTCCGGTGCCGTTTTTTTTGCCGTTTCCATTTTCAAGGGGTAATTTTTTGCAAACGGTGAAAAAAACGGCCCTGCCGTTTCCGGGGCCCACAAAGGCTGGTACTAGTTATTCACCTCGCGCTCCCCCCCGCGTCCGCCCTATTTACCTTCTGCACGTATCTAGCAGAGGGCAGCGCCAGGTTCAGGAAGCGGCCACCGAATTCGCACCCCGCCCCTCATCCTCCACCTGGAGGAGGAAGAGGAGCAGGAGGACGAGGAGGGAGTGTCCGCCGAATTTGCACCGGATGTCTTGCATCCGCAGTGTCACCAAGTTCCACTCAACACGACAGTCGGCAGTGCACAGTTGACACAGAAGTCAACATGGCGCGGTGTTCTTGTGCAAGACCAGCTTTGAAGTGCATGTCGTTGTTCGGTTCCTGCGCATGTCGCGGCATGTAGCTGTTGCGAATAAGACCGAAGCAGAGTTACGCCGGCACTTGAACGGAGAGAAAGCGGAGCTGGACAGGGGAGACGGGAGTTTTGCGGGATCTTGGGCCGGAGATGCAAATGCAAACGCCCGTGGTCGGGCAGAACGATGAGCGTCGGAAGCGCAGTGGTGAGTCGGACACGGCACTTCAGTCTCTGTTGCATCGTTTCGTTTATGCCGCTGGCCCAGAGGTTTTCATCGTCGGCGTCTGTCCGCGGTCTCACCGCCTCTGCGCCTCTGCTGTGCTGTGATTGCTGTACCGAGGCGTCGTGTGGGGAGTCGTAGGGATCCCGTTCGGGGTCCAAGTGTGGCTTGTCGGACCTGGTTCGTTGCCATTGCGTGCCGTTGAGGGGCTGGTTCGGGGCTCTCTGGGAGCCATCTTCGTCCCTTCCAGGATCGCTCCTCGGGCCTCCCTTGGGGTTAGATTGAAGTCGGGTATGTCCCTCTACAGGAAGAAAGAAGACTCAATAATAGTAAGCAAAATAGTATGAGCACGACTTTTCGTCGTGCTCTTTCGACTATCTGTGAAAATTGTTCCATTATTTTTTCATTGTTCTTCCCAAATCCGCCTGTAGAAGGACATGCCCGACGTACATTACGATTCGAATCGAATTCCCGTTTCGGTGTTGACTGATTTTGGCATGCGTTATCGCCTAATTACCGCGTGCCGTTGTGATGTCGGTCATCGGTGCTATGCGCGAGGGTACGACACGCGAGGATGTCGAGCCTGAGGCACGTCAGAAAAGACGTTCTCGCTGACGTTCAGGGCCTGCCACTATGACAGGATCCATTTCGATCCGATCGATTCGATTCGACATCGATTCTGGCCGGTTCAATCCGATTCGGTTCTGATATTCTGACGATCCGATGTTGTCCGATGTTTGCATGGCGTTGTTGTGCATGTTGGCGTGGCCGATCCCGTTCGAGTCCCCTCCCGTGCCGATGCAGCCCGATCCAACGCACATGTCGATCCGATCCGATTTCCCGATTCGATGATGGCTACTCTTGTTACGACGCCGAACACGACGACGATGTCGCCGACGCCGATGACGACGACGACGATGCCGACGCCGACGCCGACGCCGACGCCGACGCTGAAAACTACGACGCCGACGACGCCGACGACGCCGACGTCGACGCCGATGATAACGACGACGACGCCAAAAAACGACGACGAGAACGACGACGGCGCCGACGAAACGACGACGAGCGCGCTCCAGGATGCGACCGTCGCGGCCGGTCGTCTGGAGCAGGCCCGCTTCGCGGTGGCGGAGCGGGAGCGCCAGCTGGGCGAGAAGGCCCGTCCCCGGCCCCGCCGCGGCCGCCGCCGCCGTGGCCGACGAGGACTGCGGCGGCGGCAGCGGCTGCACGAACCGCTACGGTTGAAAAGGGTACAGAATCGGACGGGGTTAGGATGAAGTCGGGCACGTCCGTCTTCAGGAGGAAGATTCGAAAGCAGTCCAAACAAAAACAGTCTGGGGACGATGTGTTTTGAACACTTTTTGTTGCTATTGTTGCATATTCGTGTTGGAGTTTTGTTCATTCCTCGCCCCAATCCCGCCTGCAGGGGGACGTGCCCGACCGAAGTGAGCGGTCGAAGAGGGGTACAGAATCGGCCGGGGCCAGGACGAGATTTTGCATTTCTCGCCCCAATCCCGCTCGTAGGGGGGCATGCCCGACCGAGCTGCACGGTCGGAAGGGGTGCCGGCAGTGCCGCCGCGGGCGTTGGCAGTCTCAGGCACGAGGCCGCCTGCGCGCGGCAGCTGCCGCCTTCGAGGTTGGGCAGCGCTTGTTGCTGGGCATCGTATCCACGGTTTACGGTTCCGCCAGGGGGGTGAGGATGTGTCGTTGGCAGGTGCAGGCCAGGGCGGTGAGGATATATCGATGGCAGTTTCAGTTCAGGCAGATGCGGATGTTTCGATGCCAGTTTTTCGCCAGAGGGGGGGGAGGATATTTCGCTGGCAGTCTTAGGCGCAAGGGCTGTGAGGATATTGCGAAGGCCTTACGGCCGGTGCCGCCGATCCTGAAGACGACGAAGATGAAAGGGAAGGGGGGGGTGCAGGGGGGGGAGGAGGAGTGGCAGGAGGAGGACGGGGTGGGTCGGTCGAGTTCTTCTCGTCTGTTGTCTCCTTTCGCTGCGGCTTATCCTGCCTGGGAGAAGAATGAGGATGAGGAGGAGATGGACGATGAGGAGGGGTAGGAGGAGGAGAAAGAGGATGGAACAAAAGGAAGAGGAGGAGGGACAAAAAGGAGGATGAAGAGAAGGACAAGGAATAGGAAGAAGACGGAGGTCAGGAGGAGGAGGATAATCGGGAAGAAGAGGAGGACGGAACAAACATGAGCATGAAAAGGAGGAAGATAATCAGGAAGAGGGAGAGGAGGAGAGGAAGGCGGCGGAGGAAAAGGAGGAGGAGAAGGAGGAGGAGGAGGAGGAGTAGAAGGAGCAGGAGGAGGAAGAGGAGGGGGACAGATAAGGAGGAGGAGGAGGAGGAGGAGAAGGAGGAGGAGAGGAGGAGCCTCTTGGATCCTTGGTGGAGGAGTTCTTGGAGAGCTCCTGGGACGTCTAGGAGGCTTCTTGGCTCGTCTTGGGGCCATCTTGGCCGTGTTGGGCCGATCTTTGAGCGACACGGGGCTCTCGTGGGCAATCTTGGGAGCCATCTTCGGCAATCTGGGTTCTTTTTGGTGCTGTTCGATATGTCGGGGCCGCCCGGGGGAACACGAAACTGGGTGGCGACAACCCCCCCCGAGAACCCCCTCGGACCCCCCCCGGGCCCACCCCCCCGCGGGGAAGGGATCAAAGGGAAGGGGCTTCCCTTCGACTCCAATACGACGTTGTACACTTTCGCTTTGGATGGCACGATTGAGAATGGCCCAGGGAAAGGGACGGGGGACGACGGATACGGCGAGGAGACGACTGTGACGACGACGAAGACGACGGGGACGACGAGGAGACGACGGAGACGAGAACTCGAACGGAGAAGCCCCTCGCACACGCCGACATGGTCGGCGGATTCATGCATTGCTACTCGCAAGAATTGTACCATCTGCGTATAACAACCTCTTGGGCAAACTGGAACATCCCGTTCTACGACATCTGCTTGCACGCCCGCAACGGCGAGATCAACGTCGAAAAACAGGACGCTCTGCACAAGTATAAACAATTGCGGCGAGAGATGGCAGCCTTGTGCTATACCAGATGCTTGGCACCATTGCGACGAACTACCTGCGGAATCCCGCAAAATAAATTGGCAAGTTGTGCAAATGCACCCGAGCATGTCCACCATCTGTTGTGGAACGCCAGACCTAGTAAAAGCTCCAATCAACGTGCCGTGCTTCATCTTATCGAAGGTTTTCGCCCAATCTAAGAAAACCTTGATGAGTCCAGCGGCTTTCGCCGCATGAGCTGCATCAAACATGCGTCTAGCAATAGCTATGGAAGAGCACGCTTGTGGAGCACTTCTCATCAAAGGGGCGCCCAGCTTCAAGCTACCCCCTTTCCCCCTCCCTTGGCAAAGGGGGTCCGAAATTACCCGCCCCCCTCCCCCCTGTTGTGGGCATGTTTTAGTTTGGGGGGCCCTAGCAAAAGGGGGCGGGCGGTTTGGAAGCTACCCCCCCCTCCCCCTTCCCTTTCAAACGGGGGGGGTCCGAAGCTACCCCCGCCTTCCTTTGTTTGGATTTTGCAGCTGGGGGTCCCTGGCCACAGGGGGGGGACTTGGCTTGGAAGCTACCCCCCTGTCCCTCCTTATCGGGGCCTGGGGTAAGCCCAGGTTCCCCTTTCCAGGGGGGGGGGGCTTTTCCGAAGCTACCCCCCCTCCCCGCCTTCTGTTGGCTTTTCTCAGCCAGAGGACCCTGGCTGAAGGGGGCTTTCGAAGTTTTTTCTCTTACCTGGTTTTCGCCACCCCGTTGGTTTGCGGCCTACTTGTGGTTTTTGGTGTCTCTTTGGTTTTCTGCACCTCTTTGGTTTTGGGCGCGTTTGGGGCCGTTGGCGCTTCCTTCGTGTTCGGCGCTCCTTTGGTTTTTAGCGCTCCTTTGGTTTTCGGCGCTCATGTGGTTTTGGACGCTTCTTGTCGTTGTTCGACGCCCATAGTTTTCGGCGCATCGTTGAATTTTTGACGCCTGGTTGGGTCCCGACGCTCCTTTGATTTTCGGCGCCTTCT